CCTTCTACACTTGTATAAAGTTCTCCATTATAATTTTTATATTTTTCAGATTGTGGAAGGTAACAAATACCCAAAAAAGGTCGATAAAAAAATGTCAAACACATTTTAAATATTCAACTTTTCAATATTAATATTGGTGTGAATTAATGTGCAGCTAACGTTGTTGATTCACGTTTCAATGTCTGGATATCAAAGTATGCTTACCAGCATCCTTGAAACCTCATTTGAAAATGAATTGTCCTCTGAATATTCTCCTGCAACAGATATACTCCTCCATCCGGAACAGAGCTTCAACGTTACGATACTGGCTCCGACCGCCGACAGAAGAAATGTCGGTGTTTGACGCAGAAAGTGACCTGAATAGTTCTCTGGATTGCTCAAATCCGAATATTTTTCAATGATGAATGGGATTTTTGACAGTCACCAAAATTTGTAATTTCAAGAAATAAATACACCAATTCCTCCTATTAACCGTGTTAGGAATGACACGTTAAAAGGTAAGACCTCGTTAGTCCTTAGCTCGCACAAGTTTCTCAACTTCTGAAAGTTGTCGTTCGTATGGGGGCGACAGCTGATTAACGGAAAAACAGGTTTTAAACATTTTTTTTATACTATTACTAACAAACTTTAATGAAATTTTGAAAAAATTGTGTATTGTAACTAAAACGATTAAAGTTTGTAAGTACATTTGTGTGTAATAATAATGGTTTTTCTTTCATTGTACTCTGAAAAATATTAAAAAAAATGACGATTCAAACACAATGATTGATTCAAAAATATTGTTCAGTCAAACTCCCCTCATTTTTGAATTATGAACATGGTCTGACTTCAAACAGCGCAGAAAAGCTTACATTCAATGCATCCTTCCTACATTTACTCATTCATTCTCCTCCGATGAAAATCAATCTGCTAAAAACTTACCTATTAAAAAGATACTCACTAATTATTTATATCATTTCCAGCAATCGACTCCAATTCTTCTGGTGTAACTCCCAAGTGTCCTGGAAACCTTGGATTCCTTTTATGAAATTCCAACTTGTTTATCAACAGCGAAGTATACACCTTGATCATCTTTCCATAACCTTCTTTTAGATGACCCCATAATTTTCCAAGTTCCTCGAGGTCTTTCTTATGTCTCTGGCTATCCACAAGGCATAATGGATGACCTTCTCTTAGTACCTGGATAAAAAAGAAATACAGGGCGTTGATATAATGCAGGGGTCTCCAAACTTTGCAGCC